AACCCCTCCCACTCATGTACTTATCCAACCTAAATTTGAAACTACCCAAAGTCCTAGCCTCAATAACCCAACTAGGTAGACTGTTCCACTCATCTACTACACTATTTCCAAACCAATCCTTTCCTATGTCCTTTCTAAATCAAAAACTTATCTAATTTAAATCCATTATTTGGCGGGTTCTCTCTTGGAGAAACATCCTCAAGACCTTATTAATATCCCCTTTATTAATCCCTATTTTCCCACTTATACACTTCGATCAGGTCTCTCCTCATTCTTCGTCTAACAAGTGAATGTAACTTAAGAGTCTTCAATCTTTTTTCATAAGGAAGATTTCTGATGCTATGTATTAATTTAGTAATCCAAACGCTGAATGTTTCTAACGAATTTATGTCCATTCTGTAATATGGAGACCAAAATTTGAGCTGCATAATCTAGGTGAGGCCTTACTAATGATGTATAAAGCTGCAGTAGAAACCCCTGGACTTCTGTTGCTTACACTTCTTGATATAAATCCAGTAATCTATTTGCCTTATTACGTACGCTTAGGCATTGCTGTCTTGGTTTAAGGTTGCTGCTCACCATAACCCCCAAGTCCTTTTCGCAATCTGTATGGTTAAGTTCTACATCATTTAACCTTTATAAGTACTAGGGTTATGGGCACTCCCAAGCTTCAGAACCTTGCATTTATCTACATTGAACTGCATCTGCCACTTTTCTGACCAAGAATAGAGTTTGTTTAAATCCTCCTGAAGTTCCATACATCTACGTTTGAATCAATTATCCTACCTATCTTTGTGTCATCGGCGAATTTGCTCATATCACTAGTAATTCCTTCATCAAGATCATTGATATTAAGAGGGACATTAAAAAGGGGATAAGAAAAGCTAAAAGGGACTATGAAATTAAAGTTGCTAGGGATTCTAAAACTAATCCAAAAATTTTTTCCAGGTATATAGAACAAAAGTCAGAGATAAGATAGGTCCCCTTAAAAATAACTATGGGCATCTTACTGACAAAGAGAATGAAATGTGCTCGATTTTAAATAATTATTTTCTCTCGGTTTTTACACAGGAAGATACTAATAATATTCCGGTAATTAATTTTTATAGTGGATCAGAAGAAGATAAATTATGTAACATCACAGTCACTAGTGAAATGGTTGTGAGCAGATAGACCGATGAAGCCAAAAAAAAAGTCGCCGGGTCCTGATGAGGTTTTTTCAAGGGTTCTTAAGGAATGCAAAATGGAAGTCTGTGAACCATTAACTAATATTTTTAATTTATCTCTTCAAACAGGTGTAGTGTCTGATATGTGGAAGATGGCTAATGTAATTCCTATTTTTAAAACAGGGGACAAGTCGTTTCCGTCAAATTACCGCCCAATAAGCCTGACCTCAATTTTAGGCAAGTTGCTAGAGTCAATTATAGCTGAGATTATAAGAAGCCATCTCGATAGCATAAACTTGATTAATGATACTCAGCATGGATTCACAAGAGGCCCGGTCTTGTCTAAAATAATTATTAACTTTCTTCAGTAAAGCTTTTGAGGCTGTTGACCACGATAAAGAATTTGATATTGTTTACTTAGATTTTAGTAAGGCATTTGATAGAGTTCCGCACCAAAGACTGTTGAAGAAAGTAGCAGCTCATGGCATTGGGGGAAGGGTGCTCTCGTGGATCGAGTCATGGCTCACAGACAGGAAGCAGAGAGTGTCCATAAATGGGGTTAAATCCGAAATGGGGATCAGTAACAAGTGGCGTTCCTCAGGGAATCAGTCTTGGGCCCGTTGTGTTTATAATATATATCAATGATCTTGATGAAGGAATTGCTAGTGATATGAGCAAATTCGCCGATGACACGAAGATAGGTAGGATAATTGATTCAAACGTAGATGTTAGGGAACTTCAGGAGGATTTAGACAAAATCTACTCTTGGTCAGAAAAGTGGCAGATGCAGTTCAATGTAGATAAATGCAAGGGTTCTGAAGCTTTGGGAGTGCCCATAACCCTAGCACTTATAAGTTAAATAATGTAGAACTTAGCCATACAGATTGCGAAAAGGACTTGGGGGTTATGGTAAGCAGAACCTTAAAACCAAGACAGCAATGCCTAAGCGTACGTAATAAGGCAAATAGATTACTGGGATTTATATCAAGAAGTGTAAGCAACAGAAGTCCAGAGGTCATACTGCAGCTTTATACATCATTAGTAAGGGGCCCCACCTGATTATGCAGCTCAATTCTGGTCTCCATATTACAGAATGGACATAAAATTCGTTAGAAACATTCAGCGTAGGATGACTAAATTAATACATAGCATTAGAAATCTTCCTTATGAAGAAAGGGTTGAAGACTCTTAAGTTACATTCACTTGTTAGACGAAGAATGAGGGGGAGACCTGATCGAAGTGTAAAGTGGAAGATAGGTATTAATAAAGGGGATATTAACAAGGTCTTGAGGATATCTCTCCAAGAGAGAACCCGCAGTAATGGATTTAAATTAGATAAGTTTAGATTTAGAAAGGACATAGGAAAGTATTGGTTTGGAAATAGGGTAGTTGATGAGTGGAACAGTCTACCTAGTTGGGTTATTGAGGCTAGGACTTTGGGTAGTTTCAAATTTAGGTTGGATAAGTACATGAGTGGGAGGGGTTGGATTTGAGTGGGACTTGCACATCGGAGCTTGTTTCTTGGGTGGCATTGAAAATTGGGTTGGGCAAATGTTTTGTTAATGGTATGAATTGTAAAGGACCTGCCTAGTATGGGCCAACAGGCCTTCTGCAGTGTTCCTCCTTTCTTATGTTCTTATATGTTCTTATATATATTATAAACAACAATGGGCCCAAGACTAATCCCTGTGGAACACCACTTGTTACTGATCCCCACTCGGATTTAACCCCATTTATGGACACTCTCTGCTTCCTGTCAGTGAGCCATGACTCGATCCACGAGAGCACTTTTCCCCCAATGCCATGAGCTGCCACTTTCTTTAACAGTCTATGGTGCGGAACTCTATCAAAAGCCTTACTAAAATCTAAGTAAATAATATCAAATTCTTTATCGTGGTCAACAGCCTCAAAAGCTTTACTGAAGAAAGTTAATAAATTAGTTAGACAAGACCGGCCTCTCGTGAATCTATGCAGAGTATCATTAATCAAGCTATGCTTATCGAGATGGCTTCTTATAATCTCAGCTATAATTGACTCTAGTAATTTGCCTACAATTGAGGTCAGGCTTATTGGGCGGTAAATTTTACGGTAACGATTTGTTCCCTGTTTTTAAAAATAGGAATTACATTAGCCACTTTCCACATATCAGACACTAACTGTTTGAAGAGATAAATTAAAAATATTAGTTAATGGTTCACAGAGTTCCATTTTGCATTCCTTAAGGCCCTTGAAAAAACCTCATCAGGACCCGGCGACTTATTTTGCTTCAGTCTGTCTATCTGCTTCACAACCATTTCACTAGTGACTGTGATGTTACATAATTTATCTTCTTCTGATCCACTATAAAAATTATTACCGGAATATTATTAGTGTCTTCCTGTTTTAAAAAACGAGAGAAAAATAAATTTTTTAAAATCGAGCACATTTCATTCTCTTTGTCAGTAAGATGCCCATAGTTATTTTTAAGGGGACCTATCTTATCTCTAACTTTTGTTCTATAGACCTGGAAAAAACTTTTTGGGTTAGTTTTAGAATCCCTAACAACTTTAATTTCATAGTCCCTTTTAGCTTTTCTTATCCCCTTTTTAATGTCCCTCTTAATGTCAATATACTGATTCATAAGTGACCCCCGCCTCTTTTGATAAAGCCTTAAAAACCTTTTTTTTGCCCAGAATATTTCGGCCCCCATTATTATCCCTTTTGGGGTCATTTCTTTTGATCTAATTTTTTTATGGGAATCGTTTTTGAGCAGCATGTATAGTGTTTAGAAAAAATGTCTATTGTAGCTCTCTTTGTTACCCATCAAAGATGATAAGGTTCCAAGCCTGTAATTGTAAGCAAAATCTGGGACTGTTTTCTGAGTTATCGCTACTGGTATTCCATTCAATGCTAAATGTAATTGATTTGGGTCGTAGACCCGGGCCCTCTGAAATTTCTAAAATTGTTAACAAGGGATTCTTTGTTTCCCAGAACAAAGTCAAGCAGGTTATTTCCCCTTTTTGGTTCTGTCACAAACTGCTTCAAAAAACAATCCTAAAATACTTAAGAAGTCTTTTATGATTCTAAATTCCCGTCAAGAAATTTCCCAATCAATATGACTAAATTTAAAAATCTCTAGAATTATACTTATCGTCCCTTGTGGCCCTAACTTTTTCCTCCCTTGTAGTTTCCCCTGGTCCCTATCTAAGTTTGGGGGACGGTATATCACTCAAAAATCATTTTTTCTGCCTCTCTGAAAATTCTACCCAAAAGATCTGATGTGTTACTTCGACTTAATCCCCGTTTTTATGAAACAGTTCAAGCGATCTGGAATACAATGCCCCCACCCCCTTCCGTACTTCTATTATTTTGGAAAATTTAAAACCCTGAATGTGCCCTTCCCGCAGGCATGTCCCGACTTTTTGAATTAAACCACGTTAAAATGGCAAATACATCAATGTTATTTCCCTAGCAATAATCTAAAACTGTCCATCTTATTCCTAAACTACGGCTATTAGCATAATAAACATTGAAAGACCTTTTCTCTTTACCCCTTTGCTCATTTCTGTTTTTCTACTAAACCTTTATGTCCCTTTTCACCCAGTATCACTGGCTTTTTAAATCTACCTGTTTGCTTTTTATGTTCTCCTAGAAAATTATAAAATTACTACACTGGGGCTTTTACTTTTTCCTGCCAAAACCCTAACACTAACTATTCCTAGTTTAAGTCCCAAAAGCTCCCTCCCTGCAGTGTCAGTCTCCCACCCCCGACCTAGATAAGTGAACCCCCCTGGATACATGTCATTTTGCTTAGAAGAGGTCCCAGTTGTCAAAGAATGTTACGCTTTTCCTTTCTTTTTTTCCAGCCCGCAATTGACACCCCAATTGCCCTGGAAACCTTCTTTTTCCCAAACCCCCTTTCCCTTGGAAAAATACCACAATGACAGGGTTCCACCCCTTTCCCCCTTTTTTTTTTGCTGACGATACTTGCTAATCAGGTTTCACTCCTACATCTGCCAACTGTTGCCTCCAGCACTGAGACAGATATGAATTTCTCCTTTTTAAATCTCTGGTTATCCAGCGGCTAAAATATCCTCCATCCCAGCCCAGGAAAGCAAATCTCTGTTCCACCCTGTCCTTCAAGCAGAACGCCCTATCCATATACCTAACTTGGTATCCCCCAAAAACAACAATATTTTTCTTCCCTTTGGGTCGTTTGTCGTGACGTTCCCAGAGTCGACTCACATTGTCGGGTAGCACTGAGAAAGATTAGATGTTTCCACAAAGTTTCCCGGCGTTCTTTTTCTTCATCGTTTCTACCTTTCCATTCGTCTTCTTGATCGTCAACTTCGTTCCCTGCTGTCCAGCCACTGACCAGTTTCCTTTCTTGACCTGAGGACTCAAAACAGGAGGACTACTACGAATCTTCTTGTTTTCCTCGGTCAGTCGCCGAATCTCCATCTTCGCCATCCTCAATTCTTCCTTAAGCTGTTGGTAAAGTTGCTCGATGGAGGGCATCTTGCTTCAATTCGTAGAGAGCGCACAAACAGGTCTTCACAGAGCTAAGTACACGTCACCACTAAGTACACGTCACAATGTACTTAGTTGGTTGACAAATAGACAGCAGAGAGTTTGCATAAATGGGGAGAAATCAGAATGGGGACAAGTCACAAGCGGTGTTCCTCAAGGGTCAGTGTTGGGCCCGTTGTTGTTCACAATTTATATAAACGACATAGATGAGGGAATAAATAGCGACATAAGCAAATTTGCTAATGACACCAAAATAGGCCGTCTAATTCATTCTAATGAGGACATTAGAGCACTCCAGGACGATTTGAATAGACTGACGCAATGGTCGGAGAAGTGGCAGATGCAGTTTAATATTGACAAATGCAAAGTTCTAAATGTTGGACAGTTAAATAACCATGCCACATATAAACTAAATAATGTAGATCTTAATACTACTGATTGCAAAAAGGATTTAGGAGTTCTGGTTAGCAGTAATTTAAAACCAAGACAACAGTGCATTAGTGTTCGCAATAAATCTAACAGAATTCTTGGCTTTATATCAAGAAGTATAAATAATAGAAGTCCTCAGGTTGTTCTTTAACTCTATATATCCTTGGTTAGGCCTCATTTAGACTATACTGCACAGTCCTGGTCACCGTATTACAGAATGGATATAAATGCTCTGGAAAACGTACAGAGGAGGATGACAAAGATGATCCCATGTATCAGAAACCTTGGTATAAACCTTGGTAATAAATACCAACAAGTTGGTTTAGAAAGACACGCAAGCAAACACTATGACATTAGAAATGATCAAGGTCCCAGGACCGAAACGTTTTCTAATATATATGTCATAGTGTTTGCTTACGTGTCTTTCTAAATCAGAAACCTTCCCTATGAGGATAGACTGAGGAACTGAATCTGCACTATGAGGATAGACTGAGGTCCCTGAATCTGTACTATGAGGATAGACTAAGGGCCCTGAATCTGCACTATGAGGATAGACTAAGGGCCCTGAATCTGCACTCTCTAGAAAGGCGTAGAATTAGGGGAGATATGATCGAGGTGTATAAATGGAAGACAGGAATAAATAAAGGGGATGTAAATAGTGTGCTGAAAATTTCCAGCCAAGACAGGACTCGCAGCAATGGTTTCAAGTTGGAGAAATTCAGATTCAGGAAGGATATAGGAAAGTACTGGTTTGGTAATAGAGTTGTAGATGAGTGGAACAAACTCCCGAGTACAGTTATTGAGGCTAAAACGTTGTGTAGTTTTAAAAATAGGTTAGATAAAAACATGAGTGGGTGTGGGTGGGTGTGAGTTGGACCTGACTAGCTTGTGCTGCTGGGTCTGGTGCCGTGCTCCTTCCTTGAGTGGAGGTGACCAGACTGGGTGGGTCATTGGGATAATCCGGGGGATGGGTCATTGGTCTTATCCAGGGGGGGGACATGGACCTGTTCTTATATGTAAAAGAGGGGGGGGATCAGTCCCTCAGTGTTGTGGAACACTGGGAGATGAGGGGGATCAGTCCCTCAGTGTTGTAGAACACTCGGAGATGAGGGGGATCAGTCCCTCAGTGTTGTGGGACACTGGGAGATGAGGTGATCAGTCCCTCAGTGTTGTGGAACACTGGGAGATGAGGTGATCAGTCCCTCAGTGTTGTGGAACACCGGGAGATGAGGTGATCAGTCCCTCAGTGTTGTGGAACACTGGGAGATGAGGTGATCAATCCCTCAGTGTTGTAGAACACTGGGAGATGAGGGGGATCAGTCCCTCAGTGTTGTGGAACACTAGGAGATGAGGTGATCAGTCCCTCAGTGTTGTGGAACACTGGGAGATGAGGTGATCAGTCCCTCAGTGTTGTGGAACACTGGAAGATGAGGTGATCAGTCCCTCAGTGTTGTAGAACACTGGGAGATGAGGGGGATCAGTCCTTCAGTGTTGTGGAACACTGGGAGATGAGGTGATCAGTCCCTCAGTGTTGTGGAACACTGGGAGATGAGGTGATCAGTCCCTCAGTGTTGTGGAACACTGGGAGATGAGGTGATCAGTCCCTCAGTGTTGTGGAACACTGGGAGATGAGGTGATCAGTCCCTCAGTGTTGTGGAACACTGGGAGATGAGGTGATCAGTCCCTCAGTGTTGTAGAACACTGGGAGATGAGGTGATCAGGCCCTAAGTGTTGTGGAACACTGGGAGATGAGGTGATCAGTCCCTCAGTGTTGTGGAACACTGGGAGATGAGGTGATCAGTCCCTCAGTGTTGTGGAACACTGGAAGATGAGGTGATCAGTCCCTCAGTGTTGTAGAACACTGGGAGATGAGGGGGATCAGTCCTTCAGTGTTGTAGAACACTCGGAGATGAGGGGGATCAGTCCCTCAGTGTTGTAGAACATTGGGAGATGAGGTGATCAGTCCCTCAGTGTTGTGGAACATTGGGAGATGAGGTGATCAGTCCCTCAGCGTTGTGGAACACTGGGACATGAGGTGATCAGTCCCTCAGTGTTGTGGGGCACTAGCAGATGAGGTGGTCAGTCCCTCAGTATTGTGGAACACTGGGAGATGAGGTGATCAGTCCCTCAGTGTTGTGGAACACTGGGAGATGAGGTGATCAGTCCCTCAGTATTGTAGAACACTGGGAGATGAGGGGGATCAGTCCCTCAGTGTTGTGGAACACTGGGAGATGAGGTGATCAGTCCCTCAGTGTTGTGGAACACTGGGAGATGAGGTGATCAGTCCCTCAGTGTTGTGGAACACTGGGAGATGAGGTGATCAGTCCCTCAGTTGTGGAACACTGGGAGATGAGGTGATCAGTCCCTCAGTGTTGTGGAACACTGGGAGATGAGGTGATCAGTCCCTCAGTGTTGTGGAACACTGGGAGATGAGGGGATCAGTCCCTCAGTGTTGTAGAACACTGGGAGATGAGGGGGATCAGTCCCTCAGTGTTGTGGAACACTGGGAGATGAGGGAGATCAGTCCCTCAGTGTTGTGGAACACTGGGAGATGAGGAGATCAGTCCCTCAGTGTTGTAGAATACTGGGAGATGAGCGGGATCAGTCCCTCAGTGTTGTAGTTAGTAAGGACTTCCGTAGTCTTGAAGACTCCAACTCTACAACAACTGTATTGTAGAGTTAGTGTACCATCCACACTGATGGAGGGATACTAACAGTGATGGAGGGATACTAACAGTGATGGAGGAATACTAACAGTGATGGAGGGATACTAACAGCGATGGAGGGATACTAACAGTGATAGAGGGATACTAACAGTGATGGAGGGATACTAACAGTGATAGAGGGATACTAACAGTGATGAAGGGATACTAACACTGATGGAGATATACTAACAGCGATCGAGGGATACTAACAGTGATGGAGAGATACTAACAGTGATAGAGGGATACTAACAGTGATGGAGGGATACTAACAGTGATGGAGGGATACTAACAGTGATGGAGGGATACTGACACTGATGGAGAGATACTAACACTGATGGACCGATACTAACATTGATGGAGGGATACTAACAGTGATAGAGGTATACTAACAGTGATAGAGGGATACTAACAGTGATAGAGGTATACTAACAGTGATAGAGGTATGCTAACAGTGATAGAGGGATACTAACAGTGGAGGTATACTAACAGTGGTAGATACTGTGATGGAGGGGATACTAACAGTGGTAAAGGGATACTCACTCACAGTGATACTGTTGGTGTTCTGTTAACGGGAACCACACCTCGTCCTGTAGGAGTGACATCTGTTGTCTTGCGTCCTCCTGTTGACTCTGTTGATGCTGCTGTCCCTGTTGTTCACGTTGCTGCTGTTGATCCTGTTGCTGCAGTTGTTCCTGTTGCCGTTGAGAACGGCGACTGCGGTCTCGACCCTCCGTTACCTGTAACCATTACTGTTGGTTTTAGTGAAATAAGGGTAATTTAGCTTTATAACGCTGCCTTTATTGCTACGACGTTTCGCCTGGCTTTACTACTGCGGTGTTTCGTCCACCTTTATTACTGCGATGTTTCGCCCGCCTTTACTACTGCGATATTTCCCCCACCTTTACTACTGCGATGTTTCGCCCGCATTTACTACTGCGAGGTTTCGCCCGCCTTTACTACTGCGATGTTTCGCCCGCCTTTACTACTGCGATGTTTCCCCACCTTTACTACTGTGACGTTTCGCCCACCCTTATTACTGAGACGTTTCGCCCACCTTTACTACTTCGACGTTTCGCCCACCTTTACTACTGCTATGTTTCGCCCGCCGTTACTACTGCGATGTTTCGCCCACCTTCATTAATGCGACGTTTCGTCCACCTTTACTACTGCGACGTTTCGCCCGTCTTTACTACTGCGATGTTTCGCACACCTTTACTACTGCTATGTTTCGCCCACCTTTACTACTGCGACGTTTCGCCCACCTTTGCTACTGCTGTTTCTCTCACCTTTACTACTGCGATGTTTCGCCCATCTTTACTACTGCAATGTATCGCCCACCTTTACTACTGCTACATATCGCCCATCTTTACTACTATGTTTCGCCCACCTTTACTGCTGCGACGTTTCGCCCACCTTTAATACTGCGATGTTTCGCCCGTCTTTACTACTGCGATGTTTCGCCCACATTTACTACTGCAACGTTTAGCCCACCTTTACTACTGTGGCATTTTGCCCACCTTTGCTACTGCTGTTTCTCCCACCTTTACTACTGCGATGTTTCGCCCACCTTTACTACTTCTATGTTTCGCCCACCTTTACTGCTGCGACGTTTCGCCCACTTTTACTACTGCAATGTTTCGCCCGCCTTTACTATGTTTCGTCTGCCTTTAATACTGCGATGTTTCGCCCACCTTTACTACTGCGATGTTTCGCCCACCTTTACTACTGCGATGTTTCGACCACATTTACTACTGCAACGTTTCACCCACCTTTACTACTGCTATGTTTCGTCCGCCTTTACTACTGCGATGTTTCGCCCACCTTTACTACTGCTATGTTTCGTCCACCTTTACTACTGCTATGTTTCGCCAGACTTTACTACTGCGATGTTTCGCCCACCTTTGATACTGCTGTTTCGCCTGCCTTTACTACTGCTGTTTCGCCCGCCTATACTACTGCGATGTTTCGTCCACCTTTACTACTGCGATGTTTCGCCCGCCTTTATTACTGCGATGTTTCGCCCACCTTTACTACTGCGATGTTTCGCCCGCCTTTACTACTGCGATGTATCGCCCGCCTTTACTTTCTGCGATGTTTCGTCCACCTTTACTACTGCGATGTTTCGCCCGCCTTTACTACTGCGATGTTTCGCCCACCTTTACTACTGCGATGTTTCGCCCTCCTTTACTACTGCGATGTTTCGCCCGCCTTTACTACTGCGATGTTTCTCCCGCCTTTACTGCTGCGACGCTTTGCTCGCTAAGAACTTCATTACCATGTGAAAAACCTGAATATTAGTTAGTAGTAGTAAAGTTATCTTTATTAGTGAGTGAGAGTGAGTTATCTTTATTAGTGAGTGAGAGTGAGTTATCTTTATTAGTGGGTGAGAGTGAGTTATCTTTATTAGTGGGTGAGAGTGAGTTATCTTTATTAGTGAAGTGAGAGTGAGTTATCTTTATTAGTGGGTGAGAGTTAGAGTTATCTTTATTAGTGGGTGAGGTGAGTTATCTTTATTAGTGGGTGAGAGTGAGTTATCTTTATTAGTGGGTGAGAGTGAGTTATCTTATTAGTGAGTGAGAAGTGAGTTATCTTTATTAGTGGTGTGAGAGTGAGTTATCTTTATTAGTGGGTGAGAGTGAGTTATCTTTATTAGTGAATGAGAGTGAGTTATCTTTATTAGTGGTGGAGAGTGAGTTATCTTTATTAGTGAATGAGAGTGAGTTACTTTATTAGTGGGTGAGAGTGAGTTATCCTTATTAGTGAGTGAGAGTGAGTTATCTTTATTAGTGGGTGAGAGTGAGTTATCTTTATTAGTGGGTGAGAGTGAGTTATCTTTATTAGTGAGTGAGAGTGAGTTATCTTTATAAGTGGGTGAGAGTGAGTTATCTTTATTAGTGGGTGAGAGTGAGTTATCTTTATTAGTGAGTGAGAGTGAGTTATCTTTATTAGTTGAGTGAGAGTGAGTTATCTTTATTAGTGGGTGAGAGTGAGTTATCTTTATTAGTGGGTGAGAGTGAGAGTTATCTTTATTAGTGAGTGAGAGTGAGTTATCTTTATTAGTGAGTGAGAGTGAGTTATCTTTATTAGTGGGTGAGAGTGAGTTATCTTTATTAGTGGGTGAGAGTGAGTTATCTTTATTAGTGAGTGAGAGTGAGTTATCTTTATTAGTGAGTGAGAGTGAGTTATCTTTATTAGTGGGTGAGAGTGAGTTATCTTTATTAGTGGGTGAGAGTGAGAGTTATCTTTATTAGTGAGTGAGAGTGAGTTATCTTTATTAGTGGGTGAGAGTGAGTTATCTTTATTAGTGGTGAGAGTGAGAGTTATCTTTATTAGTGAGTGAGAGTGAGTTATCTTTATTAGTGAGTGAGAGTGAGTTTCTTTATTAGTGAGTGAGAGTGAGTTATCTTATTAGTGAGTGAGAGTGAGTTATCTTTATTAGTGGTGAGAGTGAGAGTTATCTTTATTAGTGAGTGAGAGTGAGTTATCTTTATTAGTGGGTGAGAGTGAGTTATCTTTATTAGTGGGTGAGAGTGAGAGTTATCTTTATTAGTGAGTGAGAGTGAGTTATCTTTATTAGTGAGTGAGAGGTGAGTTATCTTTATTAGTGGGTGAGAGTGAGTTATCTTTATTAGTGGGTGAGAGTGAGAGTTATCTTTATTAGTGAGTGAGAGTGAGTTATCTTTATTAGTGAGTGAGAGTGAGTTATCTTTATTAAGTGGGTGAGAGTGAGTTATCTTTTTAGTGGGTGAGAGTGGAGTTATCTTTATTAGTGAGTGAGAGTGAGTTATCTTTATTAGTGAGTGAGAGTGAGTTATCTTTATAAGTGGGTGAGAGTGAGTTATCTTTATTAGTGGGTGAGAGTGAGTTATCTTTATTAGTGAGTGAGAGTGAGTTATCTTTATAAGTGGGTGAGAGTGAGTTTATCTTTATTAGTGGGTGAGAGTGAGTTATCTTTATTAGTGAGTGAGAGTGAGTTATCTTTATAAGTGGGTGAGAGTGAGTTATCTTTATTAGTGGGTGAGAGTGAGGTTATCTTTATTAGTGAGGTGAGAGTGAGTATCTTTATTAGTGGGTGAGAGTGAGTTATCTTTATTAGTGGGTGAGAGTGAGTTATCTTTATTAGTGGGTGAGAGTGGAGTTATCTTTATTAGTGGGTGAGAGGTGAGTTATCTTTATTAGTGGGTGAGAGTGAGTTATCTTTTATTAGTGGTGAGAGTGAGGTTATCTTTATTAGTGGGTGAGAGTGAGTTATCTTTATAGTGGGTGAGAGTGAGTTATCTTTATTAGTGGGTGAGAGTGAGTTATCTTTATTAGTGGGTGAGAGTGAGTTATCTTTATTAGTGGGTGAGAGTGAGTTATCTTTATTAGTGGGTGAGAGTGAGTTATCTTTATTAGTGGGTGAGAGTGAGTTATCTTTATTAGTGGGTGAGAGTGAGTTTCTTTATTAGTGGGTTGAGAGTGTGAGTGAGTGATTTCTTAATTGAGTGGGTGAGAGTGAGAGTTATCTTTATTAGTGGGTGAGAGTGAGAGTTATCTTTATTAGTGGGTGAGAGTGAGTTATCTTTATTAGTGGGTGAGAGTGAGTTATCTTAATTAGTGGGTGAGAGTGAGTTATCTTTATTAGTGGGTGAGAGTGAGAGTTATCTTTATTAGTGGGTGAGAGTGAGAGTTATCTTTATTAGTGGGTGAGAGTGAGAGTTATCTTTATTAGTGGGTGAGAGTGAGAGTTATCTTTATTAGTGGGTGAGAGTGAGTTATCTTAATTAGTGGGTGAGAGTGAGTTATCTTAATTAGTGGGTGAGAGTGAGTTATCTTAATTAGTGGGTGAGAGTGAGAGTTATCTTTATTAGTGGGTGAGAGTGAGAGTTATCTTTATTGTGGGTGAGAGTGAGTTATCTTAACTAGTGGGTGAGAGTGAGTTATCTTAATTAGTGGGTGAGAGTGAGAGTTATCTTTATTAGTGGGTGAGAGTGAGAGTTATCTTTATTAGTGGGTGAGAGTGAGTTATCTTAATTAGTGGGTGAGAGTGAGTTATCTTAATTAGTGGGTGAGAGTGAGAGTTATCTTTATTAGTGGGTGAGAGTGAGTTATCTTTATTAGTGGGTGAGAGTGAGAGTTATCTTTATTAGTGGGTGAGAGTTATCTTTATTAGTGGGTGAGAGTGAGAGTTATCTTTATTAGTGGGTGAGAGTTATCTTTATTAGTGGGTGAGAGTGAGTTTCTTTATTAGTGAGTGAGAGTTATCTTTATTAGTGGGGTGAGAGTGAGTTTCTTTATTATGTGAGTGAGAGTTATCTTTATTAGTGGGTGAGAGTGAGTTATCTTTATTAGGTGAGTGAGAGTTATCTTTATTAGTGGGTGAGAGTGAGTTATCTTTATTAGTGAGTGAGAGTTATCTTATTAGTGGGTGAGAGTGAGTTATCTTTATTAGTGAGTGAGAGTTATCTTTATTAGTGGGTGAGAGTGAGTTTCTTTATTAGTGGTGAGAGTTATCTTTATTAGTGGGTGAGAGTGAGTTATCTTTATTAGTGAGTGAGAGTTATCTTTATTAGTGGGTGAGAGTGAGTTATCTTTATTAGTGAGTGAGAGTTATCTTTATTAGTGGGTGAGAGTGAGTTATCTTTATTAGTGAGTGAGAGTTATCTTTATTAGTGGGTGAGAGTGAGTTATCTTTATTAGTGAGTGAGAGTTATCTTTATTAGTGGGTGAGAGTGAGTTATCTTTATTAGTGAGTGAGAGTTATCTTTATTAGTGGGTGAGAGTGAGTTATCTTTATTAGTGAGTGGAGTGTGAGTTTATCTTTTTTGTGGGTGAGAGTGAGAGTTATCTTTATTAGTGGGTTGAGAGTGAGAGTTATCTTTATTAGTGGGTGAGAGTGAGTTATCTTTATTAGTGGGTGAGAGTGGAGAGTTATCTTTATTAGTGGGTGAGAGTGGAGTTATCTTTATTTAGTGGGTGAGAGTGAGTTATCTTTATTAGTGGGTGAGAGTGAGAGTTATCTTTATTAGTGGGTGAGAGTGAGTTATCTTTATTAGTGGGTGAGAGTGAGTTATCTTTATTAGTGGGTGAGAGTGAGTTATCTTTATTAGTGGGTGAGAGTGAGTTATCTTTATTAGTGGGTGAGAGTGAGAGTTATCTTTATTAGTGGGTGAGAGTGAGAGTTATCTTTATTAGTGGGTGAGAGTGAGTTATCTTTATTAGTTGGTGAAGGTGAGTTTTCTTTATTAGTGGGTGAGAGTGAGTTATCTTTATTAGTGAGTGAGAGTGAGTTATCTTTATTAGTGTGTGAGAGTGAGAGTTATCTTTATTAGTGAGTGAGAGTGAGTTATCTTTATTAGTGGGTGAGAGTGAGAGTTATCTTTATTAGTGGGTGAGAGTGAGTTATCTTTATTAGTGGGTGAGAGTGAGTTATTTTTATTAGTGAGTGAGAGTTATCTTTATTAGTGGGTGAGAGTGAGTTATCTTTATTAGTGGGTGGAAGTGAGAGTTATCTTTATTAGTGGGTGAGAGTGAGTTATCTTTATTAGTGGGTGGAAGTGAGAGTTATCTTTATTAGTGGGTGAGAGTGAGTTATTTTTATTAGTGAGTGAGAGTTATCTTTATTAGTGGGTGAGAGTGAGTTATCTTTATTAGTGGGTGAGAGTGAGTTATCTTTATTAATGGGTGAGAGTGAATTATCTTTATTAGTGGGTGGAAGTGAGAGTTATCTTTATTAGTGGGTGAGAGTGAGTTATCTTTATTAGTGGGTGAGAGTGAGTTATCTTTATTAGTGGGTGGAAGTGAAGTTATCTTTATTAGTGGGTGAGAGTGAGTTATTTTTATTAGTGAGTGAGAGTTATCTTTATTAGTGGGTGAGAGTGAGTTATCTTTATTAGTGGGTGAGAGTGGAGTTATCTTTATTAATGGGTGAGAGTGAATTATCTTTATTAGTGGGTGGAGTGAGAGTTATCTTTATTAGTGGGTGAGAGTGGTTATCTTTATTAGTGGGTGAGAGTGAGTTATCTTTATTAGTGGGGTGGAAGTGAGATTTATCTTTATTATTGTGTGAGAGTGAGTTTCTTTATTAGTGGGTGAGAGTGAGTTATCTTTATTAGTGGGTGAAGTGAGAGTTATCTTTATTAGTGGGTGAGAGTGAGTTATCTTTATTAGTGGGTGAGAGTGAGTTATCTTTATTAGTGGGTTGAAGAAGGAGAGTTATCTTTATTAGTGGGTGAGAGTGAGTTATCTTTATTAGTGGGTGAGAGTGAGTTATCTTTATTAGTGGGTGGGTGTGATCAGTATGTGGGCGTACCTGGAGCCTCAGAATGGGGTGTGGGCGGGAGTGGGCGTGGTCGTCCGCCCACGTGTAGAGACGCACACACAGGCGAGCCACACCCACATAGTTCAACAGCTGTCAAAACATGATAGGCTTAGGTGCCAATTCATAGGCCTATTCACCCCCCAAATTTTTTTGACCCCCCTCCCTCACTCAAAAAATTCATGGGCAGAGTTTTTTAAATATATGATTTCTAAATAATTGATTTTTTTTTTAGTTTAAATAGAACGTAATGTGTGTGTGTGTGTGTGTGTGTGTGTGTGTGTGTGTGTGTGGTGTGTGTGTGTGTGTGTGTGTGTGTGTGTGTGTGTGTGTGTGTGTGTGTGTGTGTGTGTGTGTGTGTGTGTGTGTGTGTGTGTGTGTGTGTGTGTGTATACCTGTACAGTGGGGCAGCGTCGGAGGCTGGACGTAGAGAGAGCAGCGGAGAGGTGACCGTGAGATCCAGCATCCGTAAGATACCGGAAGCGGAAGTTGGCCTCTGGCTGGTACACGAACCTCAACTCTGGATCGAGGTCCATGACCCTCCCTGGACCGGGGTCCACAATCCTCCCTGGACCGGGGTCCACAATCCTCCCTGGACCGGGGTCCACAATCCTCCCTGGACCGGGGTCCACAATCCTCCCTGGACCGGGGTCCACAATCCTCCATGGACCAGGGCACTTTTCTCCATCTATTACACAAAATATACAGCTAATGTCACATATGGGGACTGATCCCCCACATCACAACACCGACTGAAGAAACTTGCTAGGCAAGACAAACCTTTTGTGATGTGTCTTATTCTTCAACTATCTTATAGTTTTAAAAATAGGCTGTATTAAAAGCGGATAGTAGATAGTATACTACAAATAGATAGTTGAAGATTGAGACACTTATGCAACATATGGGAATCTTTATTTAAGAAACGTTTCGCCACACAGTGGATTCATCAGTCCAATACAAAGCAGAAAGATGCAAGGAGAGGAAGAGATTGAGGTAGTCAGTCCCTCAACCTGGAGTCGATGTGTTCAATCCATCAATCTTGTAGAATGTAAAGCATAGGGCCGTAGACATGGCTTATATACTGTAGTCCTCACAGAAGCACAGCAGACGTAGACCACATTCACGATGCACTTCTCGAACAGGGTAAAGATCAAACCAGAGAGTGGGACAGTCAATGACTCGTCCAAGGTAGCACTTGCAGCTGTCGTCAGTGGCAGACTGCAAGTCAAGTTTAATGCGATTCTGTCGCTCAAAGAGACTTTCGTTGTCGTCTGTACTGACGACACCGAGGCTGAAAAACTCATTACCACCACTGCTACGAGATCAGGGATTTATTGTCTTGGCTCTGAGGACCAGGAGAACTGTGTTCCTCAAGAGACTCGACAAGCTCATCACTGCCCAGGCTACCGAAGAAATCAAGTCGTCCATTGAAGCACAGAACCCTTGGGCCAAGGTGGAATTCATTACCAAAATACCCAATGCCCCCTCCATGCTGAAGGTCACCTTCAGTGACCTCAACATGGCAGCCAGAGCTCTTGCTGGGGGACTGGCTTTTCACTACTTCCACATCAATCCAGCCTTCATCGAAGTAGAAAAAATCATCAAATTTCAGTGTTCCTACTGTTACTCATACCTACATACCACCAAAAACTGCCCTGCCAAGAATAAGTTCTGCTCCACCTGCGGCCAAGAAGGTCATGACTTCAAGACGTGCACTACTGCCTCTCCACCTAAATGCTTGAACTGCAAGAATGATCACCATACTCTTGCTGCCAAGTGCCCAACCAGACGAGATATACTTAAGAAACAACTCCAACAGCGAAATAAACCCACTGCATAAGCGACTACATATGCTGCTGTTACCAAGCTTCAAGCAGATACTACCAAGATTCTTCAAGCCACACAAGCTGCATCTACCACTTCTTCGCCAGCTCTTGCTGGCGACTCCACCAAGATTCTTTACTGCATCATGTATTCTCAAGTGCAGAATGTAGCTGAACCTGGTTCCTTCAACACCACCATCAACAAACTCTTCAAGCTAACGTGCCTGGTTTCACATTCCCTGCATCTCCACCTTCCACAGAGATCATAAAATCCACTGCAAATGTCGCCAACATTACCGCTGCTCCACCGCTACCACACCTTCCTCCCGACACAGAGATGGACCAATCAGAGACCACTGAGACGCCGACCGATTCCACCAATGAGAGTCCACCAGCACCTGCTTCCACCTCCGTTACAACGGACCAGTCAAACGCCACCAGCCAAGAAGGTTAAAACACAAGAGCCTTGGGATGCATCCCTACGTACTACCGCCACTCCTTCACAAGAAGTCCACTGCTTGCCTGGTGTATACTTCTACACAACCAACCAGAATGAGAACGCAATGTACACTCCAGAAAAAACCATACCCCCGGCCGGGATTGAACCCGCGGTCATAGAGTCTCAAAACTCCAGCTCGTCGCGTTAGCCACTAGACCAGCTAGCCACAATAAAATTCATCCAACTAGGTATATTTCTACACCATAGGAAGGTTAGCACAGGCACCTCTGTGACCACTTGCATTTGTGGTCACAGAGGTGCCTGTGCTAACCTTCCTATGGTGTAGAAATATACCTAGTTGGATGAATTTTATTGTGGCTAGCTGGTCTAGTGGCTAACGCGACGAGCTGGAGTTTTGAGACTCTATGACCGCGGGTTCAATCCCGGCCGGGGGTATGGTTTATTTGCAATCGTGTCATTACGATTTCTTGAGTCAAGTACACTCCAGAAATTATTCAACACCTCCACAACGGGACAGTCAAGTTCACCTGTGACTCAACTCGATCATTCACCACTGAATCCCTGATCAACCTACTCTCAAAAAGTCACCGCTTTCTGGCACTCGACTACACCACAAGGAAGAAATTCAGGACTCTCCAGAATGGGGCTGCCGAAGACGGTACCCTCATCTAGCAGGACTGTCAATGATCAATCACCGTGAAGGCAAGTTTCCCCAGCACTTTGCTGCATGCTAAAGCTGGGGTGTGGCTCCAAAATGAACCCTGTAATTGCTGCCTCCGCCCTCCTGTGCTGCTGAAGATGCTAAACGAGAAGATACTTCCCACTTGGGGAGTCACCGCAAGACAGAAGAAGTCACCCTCCAACCGGAGGGCCCCAAGAAAGAATACAGAAGAAGGTGAACGACACCCCCCGCCCGAGAGGCCACCGCCGGGTCGCCATCTGGGGAAGTCCCGGGCCGGAAGTACCGGCAAATGCACAACAACAACCTATGCTGTACATTCTACAAGATTGATGGACTGAACACATCGACTCCAGGCTGAGGGACATATTACCTCAAACTCCTCTCCTTACACCTTTCTGCTTTGTATTGGACTGATGATGCCACTGTGTGGCGAAACGTTTCCTCAATAAAGATTCCCATATGTTACATAAGTGTCTCAATCTTCAACTTGTCGGTTTTGAAAACCATTCATCACAAATAAATAGTTGTTGGGCAATTTATGTGAGGATTGAGAAAGACCTGCCTAGTATGGGCCTGTAGGCCTACGGCTGTGCTCTGTTTTTTATGGCTTTATTGCTTACCTATCCTCTAAATTATGGGTTAATTGAGATAGTAAGTTGATGTGGCTTATGAACTGGCTTACCTGGGTTGAATGGAAATGTTAGAAGGCTTCCAACTAAAGGAGATGGGTGTTGAAGGCTTCCATTCACGGCTGAGAGTTGAGGAATTGATGGCTGGGGGTCGTGAGTTGACCTACGGACGTCCTGAGTACTTGTACTCACAAGGGGATACGAAATGGTTATAGGCTGGAACTCTGCACTTGCGCCTGGGCGCTCAATCTGCAATTGTTGAAAGTTCTCAGCTACTGAGGGCAGATAACATAGTTGACCAGCAGTGCTTGCTGTGTCACGGACATGCTGAGTTTGACCACTGTTGTTGTTGCTGCTGCTGCTGCCTGCTGTGTTTCCCGTGAGTGCTGCAGGATGCTGGGCTCCCTGCAGCATCTTGCTGACCACACACTCCTGGCCAGAACCAGGGCCAGGACTCTGGCTCATTGCTGGACTCGACCCGGGCCACTGTGGATGGATGTCATCCCCTTTCCTTGCAGGCTCCAGGGGCCTGGATGCCAGGTGGTTGACTGAGGTGCCATCCACCAGGACGGGAGTCTGGACGGTTGATGGATGGTGAGGAGTGGATGACATCCGCTGATGTAAGCCCTTCTCAAGCCTCATCCTGTTTACCAAACAAATTCACAAAATAAGTGTCTGTCATATACCCCCGCATAACGATTACCTCCGAATGCGACCAATTATGTAAGTGTATTTATGTAAGTGCGTTTGTACGTGTATGTTTGGGGGTCTGAAATGGACTAATCTACTTCACAATATTTCTTATGGGAACAAATTCGGTCAGTACTGGCACCTGAACATACTTCTGGAGTGAAAAAATATCGTTAACCGGGGGTCCACTGTATATATATATATATATATATATATATATATATATATATATATATATATATATATATATATATATATATATATATATATATATTATATATATATATATATATTATATATATATATATATATTATATATATATATATATAATATATATATATTATATATATATATATATATATATATTATATATATAGGGAGTAGAAACACATAGACAACATCTCAGAGCTATATCTCAAATACTTCGTCCAGCTCCCCGACGGCGAGCCGTGTTCCCAAAATGCTGCAGGCATTTACCCTCTGGATTGCAACACTGAGTCTCTGAAAGAGGAAGCTGGCCGCCCTGTGATCCTTGGTTTCTGCGATGAGTTTTTCATCCAGCTCTTTGAGGAACTTTAGAGCACACTTGCCCCATGCTCCAAGTGTCTCCAACCCTACTGGGATGAAGTTATAGCAAAGGGGAAGGTCTTCATATTTGTGGGTCTTCTGGGTCTCCCTGTAGCTGTCAGCTCCACCCCCTTCCACTACGGAGTATGGCAAGTAGGTGCCTGCCAATGTGGCGGCACAGGTGTAGTCCCAGGCAATCTGCTTACCATCCTTCCAGGGTAGCATAGTGGCTCCATCAGGACGCTTTTGACTTCCGTCAGACCTCTGTACTTGGGGTTCCCGTTGAGCTGGGCAACGGGCTGTGGCGAGGCTTCTCTTTATAATGTCATTGATCTCCTCATGTCTGGCATACTTCCCTTCTGATGTGTGACACACGAGACTATGAAGTCCGAATTGATCAGCTGTCGCCCTGCCGCAAATACATCTATGTTCGGCGAGGATGGGGTCGAGTCGAGTGCCCAGAGAGGAACTGGGAACAGCTAAAAGGAAATCTTCTGAATGTGATGCCTTCACCACCAGGAGACGAGCTTTGTCCTTTCCTGAGGCGTTGGTGAGGAATGTGTTGGCGATTTTTTCCATGATCGGTTTATCCCAGTGGGACTGTTTGTGCTCTTTGGGAGGAGCTGGTCTACTGGAGGAGTCTGCAAGGGTGTCCCACCACGCAATTGCTTCAATGAACCTGGGGTCTTGAGCTCCTACCGCACCTCTCAAGCGTTCAGGGACAGTCTCCTTGACTAGCCCACTGGAAGCCAAACACGAGGACAGAAATGCTGGTAAAGCTGCCTGCGTTGCCTTGCGCACCCCTCTACCCCCCAGTCTCACTGGGAGGGTTGCCTGATCCCATTGCTTGTCTTCCAGTGAAAGATTCAGGGCCTTCAGGAAGTGAGTCTTGGCAGAGTAAGACACCTTGTGAGGAAATACAGAGCATTATGGACATCAAGATCTCTTATTCTCTCCTTCATTTTCTTCAGGTCAGTCAGTTTGACCTTGAGGACCGTGTCGATGGCCTGGTGACCCAGTGGTGCTCCCAAGAAGATGCTCTTGGACGGAGTTATAGTAAAGACTTCAGGGAGGATTGTTCACACGGCTCTGATTATTTCCTGGTTCGTTGTGATGATTTCACACTTGGAGGGATTGAGGATGAGTCCCAAGGCTTCTCCCTGTGACTTCACCAGTTGTAGGTCCTCTAACACGGACTCTTCAGTACCTGCCAGAGTGCCAGCATCCAGGTACCAGATGTTGAGCTCTCTGCATAGGCTGGAAGTTAGTTCTCTTACTGCCAATCAGAAGAGAAGTGGAGCGAGTGAATCACCCTGCTGAACACCCTTTGAAGAGGTAATTTTATATTTGCAAAACAAAAGAACTAAGGGGGGTTCCTGTAGCCAGCTGAAATGAAGGGAAAAAAGCTAGGGAACCGATCCCGAACTACTGGCAAGATCACATCTCTTTTCACCATAATAAAAGCATTTCCAAAGTCAAGTTTGACTAACTATGCCCTTGTCTTCCAGTAAGTCCCTGATGTAGGCCCTTGCTGCATGAGCTGCCGCTTCACTGCCCTGAGAGACCCCAAAGCCCAGTTGGTGTGGCTGGAGTAAAGTGGCAGCCTCTAGGCCAATGTTCCTTACTGCTTCTGTGGCAACGAGATGGTGAAGAGTGTTACCAACAGTAATGGGCCTCATTCCCCCATCCTTCTTCAAAGTGCATACAAACATACATACATACATACATACATACATACATACATACATACATACATACATACATACATACTTACATACATACGTACGTACGTACAGGGGGTTTACACACAGGATGTTTACACTCACAGGATGCGGTGTGTGTGTGTGTGTGTGTGGAGCAGAATAGAAGGTCACTTGAAACAGGTGGCTTACTAACCCACCTGGCTTACTAACCCTCCTGGCTTACTAACCCACCTGGCTTACTAAGCCACCTGGCTTACTAACCCTCCTGGCTTACTAACCCTCCTGGCTTACTAACCCACCTGGCTTACTGACCCTCTTGACTTACTAAACCACCTGGCTTACTAACCCTCTTCACTAACCCCCCTGGCTTACTATTCCTTCTCGCTTACTAACCCACCTAGCTTACTAACCCTGGCATACTAACCCACCTGGCTTACTAACCCACCTAGCTTACTAATCCACCTGGCTTACTAACCCACCTGACTTACTAACCCTCCTGGCTTACTAACCCACTTAGCTTACTAACCCACCTGGCTTACTAACCCACCTAGCTTACTAACCCACCTGCCTTACTAACCCACCTGGCTTACTAACCCACCTAGCTTACTAACCCTCCTGGCTTACTAACCCACCTAGCTTACTAACCCACCTGGCTTACTAACCCACCTGGCTTACTAACCCACCTAGCTTACTAACCCACCTAGCTTAGTAACCCACCTGGCTTACTAACCCACCTGGCTTACTAACCCACCTAGCTTACTAACCCTCCTGGCTTACTAACCCACCTAGCTTACTAACCCACCTAGCTTACTAACCCACCTAGCTTACTAACCCACCTAGCTTAGTAACCCACCTAGCTTACTAACCCACCTAGCTTACTAACCCACCTAGCTTAGTAACCCACCTAGCTTACTAACCCACCTAGCTTACTAACCCACCTAGCTTAGTAACCCACCTAGCTTACTAACCCGCCTGGCTTACTAAGCCCAATTAAGCTTAGATTATTGCAACAGAACAAACCACCATAGCACACGACATTTCGCTACTTTTAAGAGCTCTATATAGAGCGAAACATCAGCTATAATTAACGTTTCGCTCAGTTGTAAGTAACCATCTTCACGCTGTTAAGTCTTGATAGTCGATGGTAAGGTCTAAATCTGTCTAACTCGGTCTAATTCTGTCTAACACGGTTTAAATGTATCTAAATCGGTCTAACTCGTTCTAAATTGGTCTAAATCGGTCTAACTCGGTCTAAATCGGTCTAATTCGGTTTAGCTCAGTTTAAATCTGTCTAACTCGGTCTAACTCTATCTAAATCGGACTAACTCGTTTTAAATCGCTCAATATCGGTCTAATTAGGTTTAAAACAGTTTCACTCGTTCTAAATCGGTTTATATCGGTCCAACTCGCTTTAAATCGGTCTAAGACAAATATCACCAACCTTAGTGTAGGGCTGAAGGTCTTGAAGACCAGCCAGAAGACCACAGAGCCAAGCAGCCGAAAAATTCGGTCTAACTCGTTCTAAATCGGTCTAGTTTGTTCTTGGACCAAGGAGAGGGAGCTGGCACTACTAGTGGCACTCGCTGTCTCCCCATCAAGCCTGGCACTAAAGGTTATTCTTGATTTCTAAGCTTATTTAAGCTGCGTCGACAACATCCGCTCTTTACTCAGTTCGTTTTGGCCGGAAATTTGTGATATAGATATATTTACATGTATATATATATTATATATATATATATATATATATTATATATATATATATATATATATATATATATATATATATATCCTGGAGAGGGTTTCGGGGGTCAACTCCCCCTTGGCCCGGTCTGAGACCAGGCTTCCTGGTGTATGGAAACACACCCAATGTTTGTGCCCTTGCCGGGTATCGAACCCGGACCTCAGCGTGTGAAGCGAGAGCTTTTCCTACCAGGCCACGGGCCACTGTTTATTCTACGTAATATATCATATAATCATTGTTTATAGGTTCTAAAAAATACTAATTATGACTATAATAAAAATTAATGACATATTTTTTTATGTATAATAGGAAACTGAGTATTTATGAATTATGCTCAATATATCACCCTAAATGCAGAAAATAAACAGCAGAATGTAAAAATAAATGTGTATTTAACTTAAATACAAATTTTTAATTGAATTAATTGATTTAAAGACCAATAATAAATTTTTTACGACATTTATGAATGCCATTTGTTTTGTCAACACAGCTTGTTCTATTCACTTGACCGATTTCTCTGAAGATATCTTTTAACATGATTAATAGTAGAATTAGTCTATAAATAATGAAATTTTATATTGCTTAAATATGAAAAATGAAAGTTACATTCACTTTTTGTCCAAATAATAAATTTAATTGTAAAATATTTGGAAACGAAATTCGAAGGTAGTCAAATTTATAGTAATCGGAGGAAACTTTCGTGACAATACGCCAGCACCTTATAGGCCACCATGAAGCCTGTTGCTGTTGACTCAGATAGAGACACATTATTCCACTTACTGATATTGATGTACCTCAGAGACACGTGGCAACACTAGGTTGCAACAGTACTCTCATCTAATTGTGGTTGCAGGAGTCATAGCTCCTGGCCCCTCCGATGCCCACCTTCTCACCTCCAAAAACTCACACATCTGCACCTGAAATTAGGAACACGTGGTTCCTAGAAATTAGGAACACGTGGTTCCTAGAATTTTTTTTTAAGTCAGTAACACTCAATATTTGATTGTGGAGTTTATATATATTTATCAGCATCAATTACTTGACCTGAGTAATTTGAGTGATTACGTATATTACCTGGAGTTTACCTGGAGAGAGTTCCGGGGGTCAACGCCCCCGAGGCTCGGTCTGTGACCAGGCCTCCTTTTGGATCAGAGCCTGATCAACGAGGCTGTTACTGCTGACTGCACGCAATCCAACGTACGAGCCACAGACCGACTGGTCAGGTACCGATATTAGGTGCTTGTCCAGTGCCTGCTTGAAGACAGCCAGGGGTCTATTGGTAATCCCAGACTGTCTGACTGACTGACTGACTGACTGACTGACTGACTGACTGACTGACTGACTGACTGACTGACTGACTGACTGACTAACTGACTGACTATTATTATTATAATCAAGGGGGAAGCACTAAACCCGTAGGATTATACAGCGCCTATGGGGGGATGGAAGGCATTCAGGCTTAATTCAGGGAACTGGAGCACAGATCCAACTGGAGCACAGATCCAATTCCCTAGATCAAGAGCCCCTCACCAGCGTCAAGGAGCCTTCCTTGAGGGGAACTGACTGACTAACTAACCAACTAACAAACAAACCAACTAACTAGTTAACCAACTAACTGACTAACTAAATAAGCAGCTAACTAAATAACCAACTAACTAAATACCCAACTAACAAACCAACTAACCAAATAAGCAACTAACTAACTAAATAACCAGCTAACTAACAAACCAACTAACTAAATAACAACTAACAAACCAACTAACTAAATAACCAACTAACAAACCAACTAACTAAATAACCATCTAACAAACCAACTAACTAAATAACCAGCTAACTAACTAAATAACTAACTACCAAACCAACTAACTAAATAACCAACTAACAAACCAACTAACTAAATAACCAACTAACAAACCAACTAACTAAATAACCAACTACTAAATAACCAGATAACTAACAAACCAACTAACTAAATAACTAACTAAATAACCAACTAATTAACTAAATAACCAACTAACAAACCAACTAAGTAACCAACTAACTAACAAACCAACTAACTAAATAACCAACTAACTAACAAAAATGAACTAACTAAATAACCAACTAACTAACTAAATAACCAACTAACCAGCTAACTAACTAACAAAATAACAAAGTTACTGGAATAAAGTTAAATAAGGTAAGTTTTAGCGACCCTTAACAACAACAACAACAACAACAAGAGATCATTGCGACGCAGAGAGAAGCTTCATTACACTATTTTAAACCACGGGTTTATTTACATAAACCAGGGCTGGTTTAAGGTTAAACCGGCTGTTTTAAGTTAAAGTGGATGTTATAAACCGGCACTGGAGTATTATATGAGCTGATGCAGTTGAAAAATAATATGGCGACGAGGGAGAAGGTTCACAGTCTGAGGTTCAACCAGGATCAAGGTGAGTCTTGATCCAAGGTATTGGAGCTGCTCTTTTTCATCCCCTCTTCCTTGGATCAAACCTGATTGTCCCCGTTAGCCCCTGGTCGGCATTCCCCCCTTGTGGGTTTAGCTTTCCCCGTGATTATTATTATTATGATTATGGATTGTGATGCTGGGGAAGGGCTCTTGATTCAAGGAATTGGAGCTATCCTCTTCCTCGGATCAAGCCTCATTGCTTCCCATTCCTGCTTTATTGCTTCTCCCTGAATAATAATAATAATAATAGTGATAATAATAATAATAATAATAATTAGTACTACATAATAGTAATAATAATTATAAATACATAAATAGTAAATAATAATAATAATAATGATAATAGATTTGTAGTAATAATATAATAATAAGAGATTTGTAATAATAATAATAATAATAATAATAATAATTATTATTATTATTTATAATATTCCTTTAATTATCTCACTTGTGTCAGTTTATATTCCCAAGGAATTGGAGCTATCCTCCCCTTCCTTGGATCAAACCTTATTAACCTTCTTCCATCCCCCAGGTGTCATATGACCCTTTGGGTTTAGAGTTTTTCTATGAATGCACAATACTAGGTGTAAAGTCGCACCATCAGTTCACTTATAAAAATAAGATCAGTATCTTTATTGTACATTTTTTTTGCTAATAAAATTGATAAAATGCATTAAAAAATAAATAGGTCTTTTAAAGCGGCATTCATCTTTTGATGTATTTTTTTAATTGTGTTGACGTGCAAATCGTGGTATGTAGAGGAGCTTTATAAGAGAGTTGACTGTATCTCCATATACCGCCTCTTGTAGGTCATTTTAACTCTCTTTGGCATACGGCAGATTCTCCTTGATTTTACCGACGTCAGTTTAGCAGACTTCAGAATTACAGGAGAAAATGGTTCAGAAACGGCAGAGTCCGTTGGTTGCAGATTTATCTGTTGTTACAATTGTGGCTAAGCAATTTCATCCTTATCAACCACCACAGTTGCTGTTGACTCACGAAATCGTAATGACACGATTGCAAACAAACCATAGTTGCTAACTAACTGTTGCTGTTACTGACCACTTGATCCCCCAATTACTTACATCGACAGTTTACTGTATTATGTAACCTGTGTTATACTGACCACTTGATTCTCTTATTAGTTAAAATGACAGTTTACTGCGTTATGTAACTTGTGTTATACTGACCACTTGATTCTCTTATTAGTTAAAACGACAGTTTACTGTATTGTGTAACCTGTGTTATACCGACCACTTGATTCTCTTATTAGTTAAAACGACAGTTTACTGTATTGTGTAACCTGTGTTATACCGACCACTTGATTCCCTTATTAGTTAAAACGACAGTTTACTGTATTGTGTAACCTGTGTTATACCGACCACTTGATTCTCTTATTAGTTAAAACGACAGTTTACTGTATTATGTAACTTGTGTTATACCGACCACTTGATTCCCTTATTAGTTAAAACGACAGTTTACTGTATTATGTAACCTGTGTTATACCGTCCACTTGATTCTCTTATTAGTTAAAACGGCAGTTTACTGTATTGTGTAACTTGTGGTCTCTAAGTGAAATCTGTTAATGATTTTTATTTACATTCATTTACAGATTGTTTTATATGCTGTATGGACTCGGGTGTTCGAATATACAATGTGGAACCTCTCGCCGAGAAGGCGCATTTACGTAAGTTAAGGCTGGAGTAAATTTTTCAGAAAAATTTTGTTAAATATTTACCATTCATAACAGTGGTAGAGCAACCCAAAAAAAGGATTAAAAGTTTTTATAAATACTGTTCAAATTGTACTATTTTTTAATTAATTACCTCTCTTTAGTGTGCATATAATTGTATATATAGGAGGACCCCACTTATACAGCAGGTGGGGTTGTAGGTGGCCCGGTGGCCTGGTGGCCCGGTGGCCTGGTGGTTAAAGCTCCCGCTTCACACACGGAGGTCCCGGGTTCGATTCCCGGCGGGTGGAAACATTTCGACACGTTTCCTTACACCTGTTGTCCTGTTCACCTAGCAGCAAATAGGTACCTGGGTGTTAGTCGACTGGTGTGGGTCGCATCCTGGGGGACAAGATTAAGGACCCCAATGGAAATAAGTTAGACAGTCCTCGATGACGCACTGACTTTCTTGGGTTATCCTGGGTGGCTAACCCTCCGGGGTTAAAAATCCGAACGAAATCTTATCTCTTATCTTATCTTAGGCTATTGCTAACCATACCATACCCCCGGCCGGGATTGAACCCGCGGTCATAGAGTCTCAAAACTCCAGCCCGTCGCGTTAGTTAGTTAGTTAGGTTATTGCTGTAAAGTGAAAATTGCTGTAAAGTGAAAATTGCTGTGAAGTGAAAATTGCTGTAAAGTGAAAATTGCTGTAAAGTGAAAATTGCTGTAAAGTGAAAATTGCTGTAAAGTGAAAATTGCTGTGAAGTGAAAATTGCTGTAAAGTGAAAATTGCTGTAAAGTGAAAATTGCTGTAAAGTGAAAATTGCTGTAAAGTGAAAATTGCTGTAAAATGAAAATTGCTGTAAAGTGAAAATTGCTGTAAAGTGAAACACATCCTTTTTTTATCACTTTCAGATACATATAAAAACCTGATAACATGTTTATAGTATCATATATTAAAGTCTACAATACAGCTAGGCCTACAAAATGCACCTACAATATATACATTACGTACCACAAAGTATTTTCAACCTCAGTTTATAGTGAATAGTGATTATATTTATTGTAGGAAGTCTGAAGAAATGAAGAATAGGTATAAACTGGATAAGAAATCCTATTTAATAGTCAGTGTCTAATTCTTAAGTAGTCTTCGAGCATTAGGACTAGTTTGCCCAATATAAACTGCATGTTATTGGCTTTATTTTGTGTCTAACAATGTTTTATTACAAGTAAACTACATTATTCTTGTACCACGTGAAAAGAAATAGAAATTTGACTTTGAATTTTGAAACTGAATTGTTATATTTATTGTCTTAAGGTTAATCTGCTTATAGAGTTCTCTCTCCGTGTTTTCCGCCGTTTTGTTTTTCCACTGTAAATTTTATGTTAGAGGCGCTATAAGTTAGTTTATGTAGACACAGGTACACATAAATACAGTTATGATATACAGTATAGAGTATCTAGGATAAACTATTGTAGTTTTCTTTAGAGGTAAAAATTTAGTGCATCCTCTTCGGGGCTGGATCACCTGCCATGGTGGCGGGGGACCAACAGCTGTATCTGGTTAAGAATCCAGCAGTCGCAGGTCGGTGCATCATGCCTCTCATATATTACAGTTTTTAAATTACAGCCTCTCCTCACTTAGCGACGTACTCGTTTTCCGGCGCCTCAGACTTACGACAGGCTCTCTGACCAGTATTCATACCTAAATAATGTATATTAGAGCTGATTTTCTCTATTCTGTTTATTCCAATATACAGTACACTACTGTATAAACATTTAAAAATGTACCAGAAATGTTACAAATGGTGCAAAAGTGACATTAAAATATCAAAGATTGTTGACACAAACCCACTACCAGTATAGTGTGCTCCTCGGTTACCGACCTACGCTTAGGAACGGAACCCCACTGTTAAGTGAGGAGAGGCTGTATACAGTGGACCCCCGCATAACGATTACCTCCAAATGCGACCAATTATGTAAGTGTATTTATGTAAGTGCGTTTGTACGTGTATGTTTGGGGGTCTGAAATGGACTAATCTACTTCACAATATTTCTTATGGGAACAAATTCGGTCAGTACTGGCACCTGAACATACTTCTGGAGTGAAAAAATATTGTTAACCGGGGGTCCACTGTATATTGTTTTCACTGATGTATCTGTTGAAGAGGATCCCAGAAGGGGTTCAAAATATACAGATCAGTTAATCTTCTGACTTTCTGTCTTCATGTTGGTTATTATTGAGTATTGATTTAAATGTTTTTTGTCATGATAGGTGAGAGTCTGTTTGGCAGCGTTGGACATGGAGAGATGCTACACCGAACCAATTTGCTGGCGCTGGTGGGCGGAGGGGCAGTGCCAAAGTACGCTGACAACACTGTTCTGATTTATGATGATTGCACGTCAAAGCTGGTCCTTGAGTTTACATTCTCGACCCCAGTATTAGCTGTCCGATTCAGGAAAGACAGGTGAGGTCCTCAGCGACGCGCTAATACTCTAGGGTTAGCCTGGGTGACTAACCCTCCAGGTTAAAAATCCAAACAAATATTATCTTATGCTGGATTTGAGTTTAATTAATTACCTGGACATACATAATAATATATTGTATTTCAAATTTATTATACAGTATGCTCTTTTAAAGCTCATTCATATACAGTAAGCTTTCCTATAGTCTCAAAAGTGCAATTTTTTGTAAATGCGACTGAAGAAGTACTTCCAAAATTAAAGTGTGGTGAAAGGCCTTCATTCTATGTTCTATTAAATTTTGGTTGAACATTTTCAATCTCATTTTACAAAAAAAACTTACAGTATATAGAAGCTTTATAACAGAGATGACTTTATTACTCTAATCTGAATGTTACCTGGTAATGTTACCTGGTAACAGTACCTGGTAATGTTACCTGGTAACAGTACCTGGTAATGTTACCTGGTAACAGTACCTGGTAATGCTAGCTGGTAACAGTACCTAGTAATGTTACCTGGTAACAGTACCTGGTAATATTACCTGGTAACAGTACCTGGTAATATTACCTGGTAACAGTACCTGGTAATGTTACCTGGTAACAGTACCTGGTAATATTACCTGGTAACAGTACCTGGTAATGTTACCTGGTAACAGTACCTGGTAATGTTTCCTGGTAACATTACCTGGTAATATTACCTGGTAACATTGCCTGGTAATATTACCTGGTAACAGTACCTGGTAATGTTACCTGGTAACAGCACCTGGTAATGTTACACAAATAACCTGCACGTAGAAGAGAGGAGCATACGACGACGTTTCGGTCCGACTTGGACCATTTACAAAGTCACACTAACGAAAAGGAGAGGAGGGGTATACAGTATATAGGCAGGAGGTGGTAGTAGTAGTAGTGGAGGTAGAGGGTAGTAGTAGTGGGGAAGGTAGTAAGGAGGAGGAGGAGCCAGTCAAATACAGTGGACCCCCAGTTTACGATCAGCTCCCAATGCGACCAATTATGTAAGTGCGTTTGTATGTGTATGTTTGGGGGTCTGAAATGGACTAATCTAATTTACAATATTCCTTATGGGAACAAATTCGGTCAGTACTGGCACCTGAACATACTTCTGGAATGAAATAATATCGTAAACCGGGGGTCCACTGTACTAAGAAAGGGGAGTACTCCAATGGAGCTGAGGAAAATAGGAGAGATTTAATTTTTTTTTTTTTTTGAGTGAAATCATGTAAATACTAAAAAAAAATTCAAATGCTTGTGTAAATTTTTAAGTAATGTGTCAGCACCAGGAGTCTGTCAAAAATTCACTTCTTGTTGGTGGCTTTCTTTTGTCCTTAACAGTATTTTATAGACTGCAGAAAAGATATAAAATTGTATTGTATTGTATTCCGCCAGATTAGTGGTCGTTTGCCGGCAGCAGATACACGTCTTCTCGTTCCCACACTCGCCTCGGCGACTGTTTACCTGTGAGACACGGGATAATCCCTTGGGATTGTGTGAGGTGTCCCCACTCCCTTCCGCTGACAGACATATACTCTGCTTTCCCGCCCACAAGCTTGGTGCTGCGCAACTTGTGGTGAGTAGTGAAAGAGTGAAGGTGCTCTAAGGTGCTTGTCTGAGCTTATGTGAGTGGAGGCAGGTGGTTTTTATGATTTGATGTGCTGTTGGAGCGTGAGCAGGGTGATATTTATGAGGGGGTTCAGGGAAACTGGTTAGCTGGACTTGAGTCCTGGAGATGGGATGTACAGTGCCTGTACTCTGAAGGATGAGTGATGTTGCAGAACACAGGGTTATTTGAATGGCAGTATCTGTGTACTACTAATGGCAAGACAGCTATTGAATATTTTTTCTTTTTTTTGGAAACCCTAACTTGGCAGTAGTCATCCATTAAAAAAAAAAAAACAGCAGTATTAATAGTACATATACTTTTGACTAAACTTGTTGGCATTCATGTATCCATCATTTTTCAGGATCTTCTAACAACAGAATCAACGGTCTCACAAGCACCACTTACTGTACAAGCGCATCAGAGTGAACTAGCTTGCCTTAGTGTCAACAGCGAAGGCACGCTATTGGCCACAGCATCACACAAAGGTACACTTATTCGAGTGTGGGACACTGCTCGGAGGGTGCTGCTAGCCGAGCTTAGGAGAGGCTCCGACCCAGCTACAGTATACTGGTAAATCATACACAAATGCTCCTTGATTTATGATGGTTCAACTTATTTATTTAATTATTTATTTATTAATTTGAACATGATACAGAGAAGTACAAAAGAATACAGTTAAATGCAGCATGTGAAAGCCACTTATATGCATAGCATTACTGGCAGACTTAAAATTAACTTAAGATTAACTAAGCAATGAAGTATTCAGTGGTAAAACATTATTGTAAACAGATAACAATTAAGCACAAATGAGTATTACAAAAACAGGTCGTATGGTTGCTTGCATTGCTCTACAATCAGTATTTATTTATTTATTTATTTAATTTGAACATGATACAGAGATAAATAACAAAAAAGGCACAATACCGTGACTGGAACGATACACAAATAACCTGCACATAAAAGAGAGAAGCTTACGACGACGTTTCGGTCCGACTTGGACCATTGACAAAGTCACTGTAAGTGTGACTTTGTCAATGGTCCAAGTCGGACCGAAACGTCGTCGTAAGCTTCTCTCTTTTATGTGCGGGTTATTTGTGTATGATACAGAGAAGTACAAGGAATACAATTTTTGAAGTGCAACATTGCAAAAGCAATTACTTAGGAAGTGACACTCAAGATAATTACCCAGCATGCAGCCAGCATAACTTGAATTCAAGTCCTTTCTTGGTTAAATTGATTCTTATTTCAAAAGATGCCATACAGGATAGAGAATTATTATTATTATTACTACTATTAACATTCCTATTATTATTATTACTATTATTATATTATCATCATTATTATTATTATCACCATTAATATTATCATCATTATTATTATTATCACCATTAATATTATCATCATTATTATTATTATCACCATTAATATTATCACCATTACTATTGCTATTATTATTACTGTTACTAATACTTTTACTGATATTATTATTACATAATTATTATCACCGTTAATATTAATATTATTATATTATTATTATTATTATTATTATTGTTATTATTATATCATTATAAAGGGAGGTTAAACACACAATCTTGATAAAATACATGATAGGCCATAGAAGTGTGTGTAGAAATATTGAACATTGCTTTTGTTTCCTGGTTACAGCATCAACTTCAGTGGTGACAGCGAATTCTTGTGTTGCTCCAGTGACAAGGGAACCATCCATATCTTCGCCCTCAAGGACACGCGGTTGAATCGACGCTCAACGTAAGGCATTCCTCCGTGTCGTTTATGTTGATGAATAAGACACGTGTATGACACTTGGGTATACCTGGAGGGGATTTCGTGGGTCGGTGGCCCAGTCTATAACCAGGCCTCGGGTATCTTCATTGTTGAAATGTTTCACAAGCAAGGGTGTAGCGTAAGTGTCTTGTTCATCAGTAAAGATACTCCGGGTGTTACATATGTCTTGTTCATAAACTTGTTGGTATTGTATTATATTAATTATTACATGCAGCAGGCATGTGTGAGTGTATTAGAGAGGAGTGAGTGGATGCAAGTGGTTTTTATGACTTGCTGTGCTGTTGGAGTGCGAGCAAGATGACACTTATGAAGGGATTCAGGGAAACTGGTTGGCTGGACTTGAGTCCTGGAGATGGGAAGTACAGTGCCTCCACTCTGACGGATGGGTGAGGATGTTACAGTGCTGGAGGTGGGAAGTACAGTACCTGTACTCTGATGGATGAGTGGGAACATTACAGTTAGAGAATAATCTGTATTGTGATGTCAGCACACTTTGACAAGACAGCAACAGACTGAATGCTGGTAGATGTGTTTCCTTCCTTGGCTCACCTCATTGAGGTAAAGAAAATAATTCCTTGCTTTTCTTTTTCAGATTTTCCCGTATGGGCTTCCTGGGAGGGTACATGGAGTCACAGTGGGCACTGGCCAACTTTACAGTGCCACCGGAGTGTGCCTGTGTCTGCGCCTTTGGTGCCAACTCTACTGTCTATGGTAAACACTAATTCTTGGGATGTATATGGTTTTGAAAACCCCTAAGTTGAAGAATGAGACACTTGTTCAACATCTGGGAACCTTTATTGTGGAAATGTTTCTCCAGTCAGTGGCTTCTTCAGTCCAATACAGAGTAGAACTGTGGAAGATGAGGAGTGTGAGGTAATCAGTCCCTCAGTCTGGGATTGATGGACCGAACACATTGACTCCAGGCTGAGGAACCGATTACCTCAAACTCCTCCTCATTTTCTTCCGTTGTTCTCTATATTGGACTGAAGAAGCCACTGACTGGTAATCTGTATCCTCAGTTAAGATTCCAATATGTTGCACAAATCTCTCATTCTCCAAATTTAATTATTGTTAGAAATTCTCAAGGGGATTTAACCCTTAAACGGTCCAAATAGATCGACGTTCAAATCCGTAGTGCTCCAAAAGTAGATCTATGTTTTTTTTACATATTTTCAAATATAACAAAAAGAAAATGTAGATAAAAGTTTTTTTTACACATTTTCAAATGCAAAAAAAAAAAAAAGATGATGTACACTTTTTTACGTACTTTCAAATGTTGAAAAAACGTATATATACGTTTGGACCGTTTAAGGGTTAAAAGTCAATTTTCATTGATAATTTTTTATTCCCTATTTTGCCAACAATAGATTTTCAAAATGGGAACCATTTACTTGAGGAGAATTTGCAGTTCATCACACAAATAATCTGCTTGTAGGATAACAATGATTTTTGAGGAGGTGGAGGGGTAAGCCAGTGGAAGGCCTCGGTCAGATGACCAAAAGTTCCAGCTGTGGGTCACCATATATGAGTAAGACCCACATCAGGAAGCACTTGTCCTGTTTCCTGACAAACTTTATACCTACCTGCACTAACTTATGTTGACTCTATGTTCGAATTTGAACCATTAATCATCCACACTGTTAATTTCCGTGTTGATTATGTGTGTATTCTTCCTGTTGTGATATGTTGCCTTTTTGTTTACCTTGCAATTCATTGTTTTTAAATTATCTAGAATGTTTCCATCAAATCTTTGACTGGGCTGTTTGGATCCTGTGCTGGAACATATGATAGCTAACCCTTAAACTCTCCAAACGTAGATTTACGTTGATGTGCGCACAGCTCCGAACGTTGATATACAGTAGGGCCCCACTTATATGGCAGGTTAGATTCCAGGCTACCGCCGTAAAGCGGAAATCGCCGTAAAGTGGAAATTGCTGTAAAGTGGAACACCCTTTTTTTTCCCTTATAAATGCATATAAATACTAGATAACAAGACACTAACATATATTAAGTTAGCAATAGAACCAGGCATCAAAAAATATAAAAAGTGCAATACACACATAGTGCACTCATTACTTACCTTAAAATATTTATAGTCTTAATCTAGGGTGAGATGAGTAGTATTTACTGTAAAAAATCAGTGTGGTATGTATGGTAGTCAGCTGGGCTACCATACCAGGCCATTCCACCCACATATATATTCTATGATATTTAAGCATCCCAGGGCGATAAAATGCATATACAGTTCACTCATTACTTACCTTAAAATATTTGTAATCTTAATGCAGGGTCAGGAGTTATTAAACAAGATAAAACGAATAAATGAGAGAGAGAGAGAGAGAGAATGAGTACATGAGGGAGGACAGGCGCAGAGTTATGTAAACAAAACAGGCGAACACAAGTTTTGTAAACAAAGTGTACACGTCTGGTTTGTGTACAAGTTACATTGTGTACAAGTTGTCTCTACATTGATACGATAGAATAAATAAAGAAGAACACTCCCATTCTCATGTAACACCATTTTTAGAAGAAATGACGCTCTGAGTGAAGGCAATAGAAATAAGTCACTCTGACTTTTTTGGGTTATCCCAGGTTCTGTACACATATGCTGTTATGTATGATAATCTATGTAACTGTATTTGTGTATACCTGAATAAACTTATATACATATGAAAGGAATAATTTTCTACAGTTACCCCCAGTAACACATTTTCTCTTATGTTAAACTAGAGAAAATGTTATTCTTGGCATCACTTGTACAAGTTATCTAGCTACCACATCTCATATTTATGTTTATTTATTCTATTGTTGGGTGTATTTATCATCTTTATATTTATGTATCGTGTTTATTATATAATTTTGAAAAAAAGTATCATGAATGGATTAATGAAAATGTGTATATTAACATAATATACGACATTTAATGAGACTCGGTGATTATTATTATTATTATTATCATTTCTAATATGGCATCATTTGTACAAGTTATCTGGCTGCCACATCTCATATTTATGTTTATTTATTCTATTGTGGGGTGTATTTATCGTCTTTATATGTTATGTATTGTGTTTATTATATAATTTTGAAAAAATATCATAGATGGATTAATGAAAATGTGTATATTAACGTAATATACGACATTTATATGAGACTCGGTGATTATTATTATCATTACTAATATGACGTATCGAGACAAGACACTCTTACTGATTTTAATGTGTACCTGCATGCCAGCTCAGTATGTAAGTTTATTTAGGTACAGGTATACATAAGTATAATTATCAGAGTATATATAAAATATGAAATAACTTTTAAAAACACCTGAAATTTTGGAATTTCCAGACATAATGGAGAGACTTAGTGCTTACGGATCTCACACAGAATGTAAACAAACCAAGGTGGGGCATGGTGACCATATTAGAAAGTCAGGTGGGGGGAGCCGTATAGCGAGTTTTAGTCATAATTTGAAATGACCTTATTAGCGGAACGCCGTAAAGCAAAACGCCATAAAGCGGGGCCCTACTGTACGTCCAATTTTACATGCTTTCAAATGGTGAAAATCAAGGTTGGAGTGCTACGCACATCAACGTAGATCTACGTTTGGACAGCTAAAGGATTAAGAACAAATAACAAAATAACAAAAAAAGGCACAATACCGTGACTGGAACGATACACAAATAACCCGCACATAAAAGAGAGAAGCTTACGACGACGTTTTGGTCCGACTTGGACCGAACAAAGATTATTTATCTAACAAAACATTTCATTTACAAAATAAAACAAGCAGAATGATCATCTCAACCTCTAGTTGCACTACTAGTTTTAGAGAGGCTTAAGTTTGGCCAAAATGTTCTAAGAGGCTTTCTGCATGTTCTAAGAGGCTTTCTGCATGTTCTAAGAGGCTTTCTGCATGTTCTAAGAGGCTTTCTGCATGTTCTAAGGCTTTCTGCATGTTCTAAGAGGCTTTCTGCATGTTCTAAGAGGCTTTCTGCATGTTCTAAGAGGCTTTCTGCATGTACACCTAAATTTCACCCACCTCTGTACAAGCATTGTACCATGCTGAATAAAAAAATTATTCATCTTCTCAGCTATCTGCGTGGACGGCACATTCCACAAGTACGTCTTCAAGGCCGATGGCTGCTGCAACCGTGAGTCCTTTGACGTGTACCTGGACCTGGTCACCGATGAGGAGTTCTGAGTGCTGAGATACCTTGAGTTGCACAGCAGATACCAGCACTTTGCAGGGTTATTAGAGATATACCATGACACAGATATACACAGATATACCAAGACTTACAATACACAGCAAATATACCAAGACTTACTATACACTGCAGATACACAAAGACTTACTATACACAGCAGATATACCAAGACTTACTATACACAACAGATATACCAAGACTTACTATACACAACAGATATACCAAGATTTACTATACACAACAGATATACCAAGATTTACTAAACACAACAGATATACCAAGACTTACTATACACAGCAGATATACCAAGACTTACTATACACAGCAGATATACCAAGACTTACTATACACAACAGATATACCAAGACTTACTATACACAACAGATATACCAAGACTTACTATACACAGCAGATATAAACATTTTTGTGCAGAATTCAGCATTATTTACAGTTTATTATTTAGCATCTTATCACAAGTATATATCGCCATACAAATTGGTGCATGACCCCCAAGGTTTGGTGCTTTCCCGTAAATGTGTGTTATACACACATCATTCTTCGCCAAGAAACACTAAAGCCGTAGGGGTCGTCTAGCATGGCGTTAATGGGAGGTATTCTGGTTTGATCTGAGGAATGGGAAGGTGATCATTAACTAGACTGTTGTACGCTTTTTTTTTCATCCATATTTGAGATAATCACATCTGATCCAAGGAAGAGGAGGCAAGATCAGAGTCCTTGGAACCAGAGCTCTCTCACTGACATCAAGATGTCTCACTTGCAGGAAGCATCAAGTTTAAATTAATGTCTCTCAGACTTAAAACTTAAAGGTAATTAATGTCACTGACTTAAAACTCTTAAATTTAAGGGCAATTAATGTCATTGGCATTATTATTGATGTTATCATCATTGTTAATATTGTTAATAGTAATAATATTTTATTTCAGTTTTTGCATTAATCATCCTTGAAATTAAGGGTAATTAATATGTCTCTGCCTTAAAACTCTTAAAATTGAAAGTTCAACATAACTTTTTTTTTCAGTGAATATAAATTTTTTTCTCTTTTTGGCCATAAAAAGTATTGATCAATATACTGTGAAGTTTTATTGCTAACTTTCATAATACAACATAAACAACACTTACAATGTCTGTACAGTGGAACCCGGGTTTTCGTACGCCCTAGTTTGTATGTAAAACTACAGTGGACCCCCGGTTAACGATATTTTTTCACTCCAGAAGTATGTTCAGGTGCCAGTACTGACCGAATTTGTTCCCATAAGAAATATTGTGAAGTAGATTAGTCCATTTCAGACCCCCAAACATACACGTACAAACGCACTTACATAAATACACTTACATAATTGGTCGCATTCGGAGGTAATCGTTATGCGGGGGTCCACTGTATAGTTATTCTCTATAAAATGTATTTTTTTTTTTAATATTTTTGGGTGTCTGGAATGGATTAATTGGATTTACGTTATTTCTTATGGGAAATATTAACAAAAAATACATTTTATAGAGAATAACTATAGTTTTGCATACAAACTAGGGTGTACGAAAACCCAGGTTCCACTGTACAGACGTTGTAAGTGTTGTTTAGAGCAGAGGTCGGGGAACGGGGATAAATTACCTCAAATGGGGTAAAAATGAAAATCTGTGGGGTAACAAAGCTCAATAAACATAATTAAAACTGCACAAAAAATTATTATTTAACCCCTTCAGGGTCCAAGGCCCAAATCTGAAGTGGTGCCCCAGTGTCCAAGAATTTTCAAAAAAAAAAAATTTGTTATTTTTTCTTATGAAATGGTAGAGAATTTTTTTGTGAAGGTAATAAAACAAAAAGTACGAAATTTGATGGAAAATTGATGAAATTATGCTCTCGCGAATTTTGATGTGTCAGCGATATTTACGAATCGGCGATTTTGCCGACTTTGACTCCCATTTTAGGCCAATTACATTATTCCAGTCAACCAAATTCTTAGCTATTTCACTAGTATTACTTCTATTCTATCGATTGAGCACAAGAAATCGCCAAGTCAACTGTTTCAACTACAAATTAAAGTGATCGGAAATTGTTAATTTGGCCAATTTAACACAAAGTTCAAAATACATGTATTCCAATTTCAAAATAGGGTCCAGAATAAACAATGTAGGTATTCCTGGAACTAAACTAACATTTCCTCTGTTCATTAGTTATGTTTTGAGGCTTTACAAATAAATTCCATTTTGATTTTTTATTCACATAATGAATTTTTATTCACACCAAAAAATAGAAGATTTACTGTTATGCAATACTGTAATAATTGTATAGATATCATCACCATATTTGTGAATGCATATTAGACCCACCAGCTGGCGTGTATTAGACGTGTGAGGTCGTTTGTTTACTCTTGAATATCGGCAAAAATTTAACATTTCTGCTACTTTGAGCTCAGTTTCAAGCCATTTCCAGTGCTAAAACCAATCAAAATCATCTCTATTCCTGTAATATGTCTTCCATTCTATCAAATGAGACCAAGAAATCGCGAATAGAACTATAAAAAACATAGGAAAAACACTGCAAAGTCGCTCTTTTAATCGAAAAATCATGATTTCAGTTTTTTCTCTCATTATACACAGCGTGCTGCAGGATCTGTTTTATGTGGTGCACACATACCACATAGATGTATTCTCTCATATCTAGGCCCAAATGTACCACTCACAGTTTATCAGAGTGAGCTGAGCTCATGATGTAGATCTACGGTTTGGACCTTGAACGTAAAGCCGTAGATCTACGGGACGGACCCTCAAAGGGTTAATAAGCAAGGCAAATTATGGTGCTTTAAGGCAAGTGGCAGCTGGGCCACAGGAGCTGCAGTCCCCCACAGATGCTCACTGCCAGACGTTTGACTTCAACCTTATGCTAAAATAATTTGCAACTGACAGGCCGGACTCGAGTCCTGGAGATGGGAAGTACAGTGCCTGCACTCTGAAGGACGGGTGTTAATGTTGCAGTTTAAAAACTGTAGTGTAAAGCACCCTTCTGGCAAGACAGTGATGGAGTGAATGATGGTGAAAGTTTTTCTTTTTCGGGCCACCCTGCCTTGGTGGGAATCGGCCAGTGTGATAATAAAAAAAAATAAAAAATATTACAGAAAATATCTGTTGTATATTGTTTTCAATGTATTTATAAGCAAATTTTTAATTTTTCTGTTGAAATGAGATAATAATTAAAAATAGAATAAGTTTGTTGCTATACAATAGTATAGGTATTATTGGTACTACGAAACACCACTGTTTATGGTATACTATACACACTCTTCAGCTTGTATGGCTGTATTCTCCATACAGATAGATTCCATAAACTATTCCCACAAGCAGTGGTATTCATTGCGCGGCTCGCAAGCCGCCAATAACAAGATATGCAGGCTAATATTACCATATCTAATTTTTCTCATTTACTATATTGCACTAGCAGCTCAGTACTACTTAATTTAGTTGAGTTACGCTAACTTGCAGTAGCTGCGGCTCTCTCAATCAATGTGTTTAACCGAAGTGGCTCTCTTGCAAAAATTAGTGAATAACATGGCCCACAAGGAAGGTTCCTTGACGCTGGTGAGGGGCTCTTGCTCTAGGGAATTGGATCTGTGCTCCAGTTCCCTGAATTAAGCCTTAATACCTTCCATTCTTCCCCCCCAGGTGCTGTATAATCCTATGGGTTAAGCACTCCCCTTTCATTATATTATTATAATCAAGGGGTAGCACTAATCCCGTAGGATTATACAGCACCTGTGGGGGGATGGAAGGTCTCCAGGCTTAATTCAGGGAACTGGAGCACAGATCCAGTTCCCTAGATCAAGAGCCCCTCACCAGCATCAGGGAACCTTCCTTAAGTAATTGGCAAAGGTGAAGTATTTGAAGATCAGAGACCAGCGAGTGTCAGGAGCATCAGAGGCAGAGTCAGTAAGGCTGATGGGAAGACCAGCGAGTGTCAGGAGCATCAGAGGCAGAGTCATAAGGCTGATGGGAAGACCAGCGAGTGTCAGGAGCATCAGAGGCAGAGTCAGTAAGGCTGATGGGAAGACCAGCGAGTGTCAGGAGCATCAGAGGCAGAGTCAGTAAGGCTGATGGGAAGACCAGCGAGTGTCAGGAGCATCAGAGGCAGTCAGTAAGGCTGATGGGAAGACCAGCAAGTGTCAGGAGCATCAGAGGCAGTCAGTAAGGCTGATGGGAAGACCAGCGAGTATCAGGAGCATCAGAGGCAGTCAGTAAGGCTGATGGGAAGACCAGCAAGTGTCAGGAGCATCAGAGGCAGTCAGTAAGGCTGATGGGAAGACCAGCGAGTATCAGGAGTGTCAGAGGGAGGCAGAGTCAGTAAGGCTGATGGGAAGACCAGCGAGTATCAGGAGCATCAGAGGCAGAGTCAGTAAGGCTGATGGGAAGACCAGCGAGTGTCAGGAGCATCAGAGGCAGAGTCAGTAAGGCTGATGGGAAGACCAGCGAGTATCAGGAGCATCAGAGGCAGAGTCAGTAAGGCTGATGGGAAGACCAGCGAGTGTCAGGAGCATCAGAGGCAGTCAGTAAGGCTGATGGGAAGACCAGCGAGTGTCAGGAGCATCAGAGGCAGAGTCAGTAAGGCTGATGGGAAGACCAGCGAGTGTCAGGAGCGTCAGAGGCAGTCAGTAAGGCTGATGGGAAGACCAGCGAGTATCAGGAGCATCAGAGGCAGAGTCAGTAAGGCTGATGGGAAGACCAGCGAGTGTCAGGAGCGTCAGAGGCAGTCAGTAAGGCTGATGGGAAGACCAGCGAGTGTCAGGAGCATCAGAGGCAGTCAGTAAGGCTGATGGGAAGACCAGCGAGTGTCAGGAGCATCAGAGGCAGAGTCAGTAAGGTTGATGGGAAGTGCCCAAAGGAAAATATAAAAATTCGTAAGTGCTAAACCCACAGGGGTTATACAGCACCTTGGTGATAAGAGAGAAACAGGTTTGATCTGAGGTAGGGAAGGGTAGCTCCAATTCTTTAAATCAAGAGCCCTTCACTATCATAAATGTAATTGACAACATACATCCAAAATTAAATAGCACATATAAAGGCCTTCTTAGCATGAGAGTTATTTTTCAATACACTTTTTCATTCACATTTATGAAAAATTACATCATATAGAGAAGCTTTATAATAATAAAATACCGAGCACTAAGCCCACTAGGTCATAGAGTAGCGATCCTTGTAGGTTTAGCGCTTCATTTTTGATAATAGAGCAGCGAGGATAACAGAGGTAGAGTTAGAAAGCGCTGTGAGGAGTGCTAAGAGAAGTATTATCAGTCTGTAATAAATCAGTTACTGACAAAAAGTCGCAGAGGAGCTTTGTGAGATGACTAGTTTACCGAGGAATATTTTGCCACAAACATCAGCGCTGTATGACCCTTGAGGGTTTACCTCTTAGTTCTGATTGTGACAGTATTATTAGTATAGATAAGAGGACACAAGTGCAACTAATGCCACAATAAAATGTCTCGTTAGTTGGACTCGTGTCATTTTATCCAATACAGTGGACCCCCGCATAACGATTACCTCCGAATGCGACCAATTATGTAAGTGTATTTATGTAAGTGCGTTTGTACGTGTATGTTTGGGGGTCTGAAATGGACTAATCTACTTCACAATATTCCTTATGGGAACAAATTCGGTCAGTACTGGCACCTGAACATACTTCTGGAGTGAAAAAATATCGTTAACCGGGGGTCCACTGCATATTATTGGTAATTCTACCAACATTATTACAATAATAATTTGCCATAAATCTTTTCTTTAGTTCTACAGGAGTGAAGAAGAAATTCATAGTGAAACATTATTATTATAATGGGGGAGCGCTAAACCCATAGGGATTATACAGCGCCTGGGGGGGATGGAAGGTATTCACTCCATTCGGAGAACTGGAGCACAGATCCAATTCCCTAATCAAGAGCCCCTCACCAGCAACAAGGAACCTTCCCTGAGGGGTTATAGTGAAACATTACCTCAATGAATTATCCTGATACTGAGCACATGAGTTATCTTGCAGCTGTGTCCACGTCAGGTTTCATACAGCTGGACTACAACACTGGTAATGTTGTTGTGTACATTAACTAGTGTTGCTGTTTGTTAACCAGTATTGCTGTCTTTGGTAACCAGTGTTGCCATGTTTGTCTCCTAACACGGATCTTTGTCACCAGTTACTTTTATTTTTTTTATTAACACCGACCATTTCCCACCAAGGCAGAGTGGCCCAAAAGAGAAAAACTTTCACCATCATTCACTCCACTGTCTAGCCAGATGTGCACTTACACTACAGTTACAAAACTGCAACATTAACACCCCTCCTTCAGAGTGCAGACACTGTACTTCCCATCTCCAGGACTCGAGTCCGGCCTGCCGGTTTCCCTGAACCCCTTCATAAATGTTACCTTACTTACACTCCAACAGCACATCGAGTCCTAAAAACCATTCTTCTCCATTTGCTCCTGTCTAACACACTCGCCCATACTTGCTGAACTCCAAGCCCCTCACACAACAGTAGTCTTGGAAATTAAAAAACTATTACGTAGTTACCATTATTTTTATTATGACGATGATAACCTGTTCGATGGTTCAACATTCACTGGCCTACTGCACCAAAGTTTTCACCCCATTAAAAAACAAAACATTTATAATGCCCTAAGTTGGTTTGCTACACAGGAGCATAACTCTCAAAAAAAAAAATCCCAGACTACAGTAACTGCATTACCAAACATAAATGTGAAACAACCACACAACAAACTATTACATTTTAGGTGAATATGGCACAACAGAGATCACAATAGAGTGAGGCAGTCAAAACATACTGTGGGAGGGACAGCCTAAAAGAATGCTGTATAATGCAAACTGTTGCAGTGAAAAACATGGCATGTTTAACCCTTAAATGTTCCAAACGTATGTATACGTTTTTTCAACATCTGAAAGTATGTAAAAAAATGTAGATCTTTTTTGTTTTACATTTGAAAATGTGTAAAAAAAACTTTTATCTACTTTTTTTTTATATTTGGAAATATGTAAAAAAAAGTAGACCTACTTTTGTAGCTACGAATTTGAACGTTGATTTGTTTGGACCGTTTAAGGTTTAACACACAGGATGTAAAAAATAAAACTCCGCAGTGTCGTGGGGAAGTTTCCGACTTACAGAGGAGTTACATTCTGGGGTTCAAGATGCACGAGCAAACAGAAGTCTAGCAGGCAAACATTTTGAACCTGGGACCTTGTTCATTCCAGGAACAAAATGTTTGCTTACTAAAATAACCCAAATGTTTGCTCATGAGTCTGTAACCACAACTTGAGGTGTCTGATGTATCAACTTACAAAGTCGGTGTCTTGTATAAACAACAGTACAAACTATGGTCACACACACTGGTACTTCAACTCAGAGTTGTACTGGTTTGTGAGTGTGGACGTGTAACTGATCCTTTGTATGTTTAAAACCTCTATTGTATATTACAAGACATACACACACTTGAATTATGCTCTTTTCATACAGAAATCTTAACCAGCTGCACTGTAGTGATCAAAAGTGCTTTTAGAACAAACGCTACATAAACAAAATAACATATAATACCTAAAAGTTTGATCTCACCAGAAAACCTGTATTGTATACAAGACTATATATACTATGTAATACATGGATTAAGTGCTATATGTTTTCACTGATGAATCTTTGCCTTGGCTATACAGTATTTTAACTGGAGTTTATCTGGCGCCTTTATATACAATATTCAAACAGTATATTATTATTCATTACCAGTGAGCAGTTTGTAAAGCTTTCCTACTCTCTCAGAACTGACCTAAAGTCAAGCTTACTTGCAGGTACAAGTCAACCAGGTTATTACAAGCTGAAGGTCATAACACTGGCAGGCAAGTGGACAAAACACATTAAAACACTTTCACCAAAAACCTACACTTGTAAGAGGAACTTTATAATGATGTTCTGAACCATCCTGGACCGTTGTGGGGATTAAAGTGGCAATACACCTACCATCCGACTTACGACCTGCTCGACATACGGCTACTCGACTTACGACCATGTTTTATATGCCAAATTTCTGGGAAATAAACAAGTGTTTGTGTTGTACACAGTGTTTATCCTAAACCTTACAGTATAAAATACAGTATTAACAGCATAAAAAGTAAAGCAAAATATGAAATACCCAAATAAAATAATAAAATAAAATCATTACAAAAATATGATGTTGATATTCAGTAGTAATATTCGACTTACGTCCATTCTGACTTACGACCAGTTGGTCGGAACTGAGCTCGGTTGTAAGTCGGATGGTACCTTTACAAGGTTTCTCTTCTAAGTGCGGGTAATTGCTGAATTATTCTGGCCATGTTATTGTGACTAAGTCTTTACAGTAAACCCTTGATTTAACACTAAATGATGATTACAGTGGACAGAGGTGAGGTTGTGTTGTCGTAACTGCAGCAATAACAGACAATTTTAAAGCCAACGCACTTTGTTTATAGCTTCCAAATAGACCCATTGGATTCTGTCCCACATTGCCACACTCCATTTAATCAAAATCCTTCACATCAAAACTTACTGTATACACAACAAGCTGTCATCTTGAATATTTCACCAGTGAGTAAAATGTTCAAAATATGTGAAGACTTTGTGCAGGCAATTGTCTTTGTCTGCAGGTTAGTGCAGCTCACAGGCTGCAAATGACCCATTTTTTGAGATTATTCTTAAAGCCCAGCCTCCTGGAGCCACACTTCATCACTATCTGGTCAACCAGGCTGTTCCTGCCTGGTCAAGGTGCACACACTTCCCATACAACTTTCTGGAAATAGTAGCCCAGTAAGGTACGAAGTTATAAGCCACAATACTGAGCAACAGTGAGGAGGATACAGGCTGTTTGATCTCTTAGCTTTAAGCTTAATACGCTTGGCCTGTCAATTCATGAACCATAGTTTGAACCCCTCATCCTTCTGTTTATTCGTTGACACAGTCGCTTATTATGACTTAGTTCTATGATTTAGTGATGTATTGGTTCAGAAAACCGACAAGTTGAAGAACAACACACTCGTGCAACATTTAACAAACTTTATTGAGGAAATGTTTCTCAATAAACTTTCCCAAATACAGTGGTACCTCGGGATACGAGCTTAATTCATTCCAGAAGGCTGTTTGAGTGCCGATACCGAACGAATTTGTTCCCATAAGGAATAATGTAAATTAGATTAATCTGTTTCAGACCCCCAAAAATACACTTACAAAAGCACTTATATAAATACACTTACGTAACTTAGAGTTTTGAGCTGTTCGTATCCCGAGGTACCACTGTATTGCACAAGTGTCTCAGTCCTTGACTTTTACGATTTAATTGAGTGCATACGTGTCGCACGTACACCTCCAGTCAAGAATACTTTACTTAAAGTAAACTGTATGTATATAGACATACACATACCTCTGTGCAATAAGATCACAGTAAACAGGTGATTTCAGAATATGCAAAACAACCACTCTGAAAGAATAGAGAAATTCCAAGCGCTTTCGTGACTACTCACATTATCGTGAGTAGTCACAAAAGCGCTTGGAATTTCTCTATTCTTTCAGAGTGGTTGTTTTGCACATAGCTCTGTATATACATGTACACTA